AGTCACATAGTCAGTCAAATAAGAGTCAAATTTTGTTGTGGCACAGTCGTTTAGGTCATGTTTCTTTCGAAGTAATAAAATGTTTGTTCCCACTTTTATTTAAGTCGTGTTCAGTGTTAGAGTTCATGTGTCAAATGTGTCAGTTGAGTAAACAATGTAGAACAACCTTTCATTCAAGCAATAAAAGATCAAATGTTCATTTTCATGTTGTGTATTCTGATGTATTGGGGCCTACAAATGTAATCTCTGAGGGTGGATATAAGCATTTTATTACATTGATTGATGATTACTCTCGCTATACATGGGTAATCCCTATGCGTAGCAGAGACGAGGCTCCAAAGATAGTGAAAGACTTCCAGAGGATGGCGTTTACACAGTTCCATGTTGAAATACAGATCTTCCAATCCGATAATGCGAAGGAATACTTCCATGGGGAGCTAAATGAGTTCTTCGCCTCCCATGGGTCTATTCATAAAAGCTCATGCGCCAGAACACCACAACAAAATGGGGTTGCAGAAAGAAAAAACAGACACCTCCTTGAGGTAGCCCGCGGGATAATATTACACATGAATGTCCCAAAAAGGTTTTGGATGGATGCTATACTTACAGTTGCATATGTCATCAACCGCATGCCCTCTAGAGTATTGAATTACATGGCCCCTCATCAGTTATTGTACCCTTAGTCACCTTTATTTTCCATCCCCATGAGAGTCTTTGGTTGTCGGGCCTTTGTCCATGATTTGTCTCCATCCAGAGGTAAGTTAGACCCTCGGTTCATTCCTTGTGTCTTCCTGGGGTACCCATCATCTCAAAAGGGGTATCGGTGTTTTGACCCAATTAGTCGTAAATATTTTGTGTCTATGGATGTGTCCTTCTTTGAGTCCGAGCCGTTCTTCCCTCCTCCTCAGGGGGAGAGCCGTAGTGTGGAAGAGGAGAAGTAGGTTCAGGTGTCTCTTCCTTCTATTCCGGATCTCACTCCCTTCCGTGTCTTCCAACGTACTCGTCGGAGAGATCAGCAGTGTGATAGAAACGTTGAGCAGCCAAACACTGAGCAATTGACATCATCAGAATCCCAGGAGGTAAGTCCAACCCCTAACCCTACTCCCACTGTGGACGACCTAGACATCCCTATTGCTCAACGAAAGGGAGTCAAGTCTTGCACTACCAAACACCCCATTACCCACTTTGTTTCCTATGACCACATTTCTCCCTCGTACCGAGCCTTCCTATCGGCAGTTGACTGCATCCCTGTTCCCAAGAATGTTGCAGAAGCCTTAAAATACCYTSAATGGRTAGATGCYATGAAGGAGGAGATTGATGCCCTCCACAAAAATCAGACTTGGGAATTGGTGGATCCTCTAGAGGGGAAAGAACCCGTGGGGTGCAAATGGGTGTTCACAGTTAAGCACAAGGTAGATGGAACAGTCGAAAGGTACAAAGCAAGACTAGTAGCCAAAGGGTACACACAGGTATATGGAGTTGACTATGATGAGACTTTTGCTCCGGTAAGATGAACTCGATTAGGGTTCTCCTATCCTTAGCTGCTAACTTTGATTGGGAATTGCATCAACTGGACATAAAGAATGCCTTCCTGAATGGTGACTTGGAAGAAGAGGTATGCATGGTT